AGGCTCTTAAAACAATATATAACTTTTCAAAAAAAATGTATTTTTTAAAGAATACAGGGTGCTTTGCTAGATTCGAACGAATCCAGCAGAGCCCTCGGTTTTTTAAGCTTTTTTCTAAAAACAACTACACCACATTTTTAGGCTATTTTTAGACTATTGAAATATTATAAAACTTTACCGCAAATACAGAAACAAGTTCGGCTTCTGTTTGATGAACTCGAAAAAAAATGGTCTACGGAAGGGGTTGCTTGTCGGACGTCAGCTAAACTAACTAAAAAACATCAACAAATCGATCTCTTTGATATACCGCCCATAGACGGAGATATCTTTTTATTACTTAAAAGGTTATTAAATAGTTTGATAATTTATTAATTATGTACCTATTTTTTTGCTTTCAATTTACAGATTTATAATTTTATAGTAATTTTTACATATAAAACAAGAAATGAGATGGCACACTTCTTATGAGTTTTCGGGGACCAGTCGATTTTTTTTAAATTTTAATATGTTATAGTACTTGCAAAAATAAGCATTTTTCATCATTGCGCCAAATCTCTAAGTGTACAGGGTGTCCCAAAAAAAGGCACCGAAAGTTCGTACGCGAGGCGTTAAAAGTATCCAGTAATCGTCGACCTGAAAGAATGTTGCTGTCATTTTTTCTTTTAATTTGACCAACGAACAATGAATGTGATATGATTACCTACATGTCTGTGCAATACATGTCCCTTTCGAAATCGTAGTAAACCAAAAACAGATTTAGGTATGCCGGCCCTTGTTTCGGCATTATATAGCGAATTAGAAAGTGAAAATGTTTTTTTTTTAATTTTCTCGAGGCCAATTTATGCTTTTGAATTTATCTGAAAACTCTGCTTGTTATAAGTTACAATAAAAAACCTAGTCATGAGCCTTATTGGGACGTTCGATATAGGATAGGTTCATAAAAATATACCAATATATTATAAAGTATACAAATCTATATTTCGTTCCAAGTTTATTTTTCTCAAGTATAGGCTATGAAGTCATTGTTTACAACAATATTCAGCATTACGACAAATAAAAAACACCTAATCAGAGAAAAAGAAGCTTTAAACTGCATATATGCTTGCTGACGATTTAATCGCTAAGTTGGCTGTGAATGCGCCGATTTTGACATTTTTAAAAACTGACGTGCATTTTATTTGAATAAGTTTTTGTGATTAATATTGAATTTTATATATTTTGTGTTGCCAGTTTATGTTAATTAACTTTGTAAGTATGTAATTCGAAAGCAAATATGGGGTTACTTATATTAGTTTATTTGAATTTTATATAGGATCATGGTTAGGTGCTACATTTGCAACGTCAACGGTCAAAGATTCCGAGCAATTTTAGAACCACGACAAAGAGAAATCTCTATAGGTGTATAGAATTGTCTGATAATCCACTGGCAATACCAATGGATGTTTTAGCGGGCAATAGAGGTTGCTTTGTATGTAATAATGACAGTCGGACAAGGTTATCGTTAGATGCACGTGTCGACTTTTTTGCAAAAACTAACATTTTCATCCCCAGCCATACACCATGTTGTGTTAATCATTTAAATTCTAAGGGAAATATTGAAATACAGCACATGAATAATAATATATCATTGCCCATGAATGTGTTAATGACGGGCAGGGAAATACATGAATGGTTTCTGGCATTAAAAGACTACAATTCAAGTAGTTTTGATACTGAAGAAAATTTTGGGGATGAGGGATTTAAAAAGTTGACCTCTATAAGCAAGCGGCAATTTGCGGATTTATTCAATACATACCAACCGGTAGTGATTTATGGAAAAAGTCGTGTGCCAACTAAAAAAGACATGATTGCATTCTTAATGAAATTAAGGCAGGGCTTATCGGATGAATTTATTAAAGTAATTATGAGTTACACATCCCGCCAGGCTGTGAGTTTAGCAATTACCATTGTCAGAACTACTTTAATCCTAAACTTTGTATCAAATAATCTAGGATTTCATTGTCAAGAATTGAGAGATAGACGACAGTTTATTGAGCGCCATGTTACAAGCTTTTCAAATATATTGTACAATCCACAGCCCCAAAATCCCCAAGCCATCCTCTTTCCGGATTGTACTTACTTGAAAGCCCCAAAAAGTTGTAATTTTAGAACTCAAAGACAATCCTTTTCATCCCATAAGCGGTATACATTATTTAAAGCCGGACTAATAGTAGCTCATGATGGATTTATAGTCGATGTTCACGGTCCTTACTTTTCCGACAGCAGGAACAATGATGCAGCAATATTGAGAAAAGAAATAGAAGAGGATATTCAAAACATAAGACAATGGATACAGGACGGAGATATATTTGTCGTTGATAGGGGATATAGAGATGTAGAATTTCTTGAAACACTAAACCTGAATTGTGAAATACCACCGTTTTTGCCAAGAAATCGTCAACAGTTTACCACCGAGGAAGCGAACTATGCTCGTAAGATTACCAAAACGCGCTGGATTGTAGAATCGAGGAATGGGCATTTAAAATCATTGTACAAGTTCTTTCGAGATGCGATACCTATGCCAAATTGTTACAAGTTATCAGAATATTTAAAGATTGGTTGCGCTCTTATTAACGCATACCGAGAACCAATTCATATGCAGGATGAGAGTGACGAGCTGGCACAGCGAATGCTAGAGCTAGTCCAAAATCCTAATAATCCCCTCCATGATAGGATTCTAATGGAAAATCTGCAACTTAGGCGTGGTGGAGGTGCATGGGTTAATATAAATGAAAATGACATCCAGTTCCCTATTCTAACGTTAGAATATCTAAGAACAAAAACATTTGGAACATATCAGGTAAAGCTGTCTCCAGCTTACATCCAGGATACAATTGAAAGGGAAGCCAATAACGAATTTCTGTTTCAAGTTCAGGAATTTGAGCCTGGGCTCATTAGAGCAAAGCTATTCTCCCGATTTACTCAAGTCACAAAGCATTTTCTTTTTATTTCATACTTGCTGCCTCCTGTGCGTGATGGGGACGACCCAATACAAGGAACATATTGTACTTGTAAAGTTGGGGCTAGAACACTGGGTATGTCCGCACATATTTCCAGCGTAGTGTGGTATCTAGGCTATGCTCAACACGAAAACGACGTCAAGTACCCAACAAACGTCTTACTTAGATGTATCCAAGACGCCGCTAATAGAGATTAGTATTCCAAGAGAATTGTCACTACCCAATAATAGTTTTACCCCTTGACAAAAAATGTTACTACGCTAATTAACTCACAAAGTAAGATAATAAATCAGTTTTTGTTTGTTCCATTTAATAAATAATTGTTTTTTTACGATTTTGTGCTTTTTAATTCTGAATGTTGGCTACATCAAGTAAATTAAAAAAAATTAATGTGGTATTTGGCCATTTATACCTAGGTTAATATATTCCAAAGTATTTAATACTTCTATTTCCTTGCATATTCATTGTTTTTTATTTTAACTTATAACAAGCAGAGTTTTCAGATAAATTCAAAAGCATAAATTGGCCTCGAGAAAGTTAAAAAAAAACATTTTCACTTTCGAATTCGCTATATAATGCCGAAACAAGGACCGGCATACCTAAATCTGTTTTTGTTTTACTACGATTTCGAAAGGGACATGTAAATTAAAACACCCTGTATTGCACAGACATGTAATCATATCACATTCATTGTTCGTTGGTCAAATTAAAAGAAAAAATCACAGCAACATTCTTTCAGGACGACGATTACTGGATACTTTTAACGCCTCGCGTACGAACTTTCGGTGCGTTTTTCTGGGACACCCTGTACACTTAGAGATTTGGCGCAATGATGAAAAATGCTTATTTTTGCAAGTACTATAACATATTAAAATTTAAAAAAAATCGACCGGTCCCCGAAAACTCATAAGAAGTGTGCCATCTCATTTACTGAAAAAAAGGCCGTTCTTACTGATTTTTATAACAACTTATTTAACAATAGAAATAGGTCATTGTTTGGGTTACTACTGAAGTTATTAATGTTACTTTTAGTCAATTTAGTCACGTGAGATATGAATATTATTGAAGACTCTGCGTATGAGTAGGTATTATGATATGACTGATATTTAGATTTGATTTGAACATTTACTTTGCAATTTTAATATAATCAACGGATATGGAATTTTTAACACGGACACTACCTTGTAATTGGTATTTACACCAATTTTAAATCAATCAATCCCAGCTAAAACAACTTATTTGTATATTGTTCATTATTGATTTCAATTATTTTTTCCGCATTAATATAATTAATCGTAGAAATTAAAATGTTTGTTAATTAAGGGTTTTTTGCAATGAGCCTATCCTAATCTTAATAAGTATTTAATAAAAATTTTCTTTTATTTGATACAAAGTGACATTTTTGTAATCGCAGCAAGTGTCCAAATGATCTATCTACTTTGAGTCACATAAAGTTGAACATTATGTAACTGGTTATGTCATAAATATGTTCATGATTGCGAAAAGAAAATAAATAAAAGAAACCTTTTTTTTTGAATAATTTATATTATTTCAAGAGCCTAAAAATAGCCTAAAAATGTGGTGTAATTGTTTTTAGAAAAAAGTTTTAAAAAACCGAGGTGCTCTGCTGGATTCGTTCGAAGCTAGCAAAGCACCCTGTATTTTTTAAAAATAACTAAATTTTTCGAAAAGTTTTATAATATTTTAAGAGCCTAAAAATAGCCTAAAAATATGGTGTTGTTGGTTTTGGAAAGAAGCTTTAAAAAACTGAGGTGCTCTGCTGACTTCGTTCGAAGCTAGCAGAGCACCTTGATTTTTGCAAAAAACGAGGAGCATAAAATTTTTGAATAGGGTATAAAAATAGCCTTAAAATAGCCTAAAAATGTGGCATTAGTTCCAACTCAAAATTCCCGAGGTGCTTTGCTGCCTTCTTTGGCATAAAGTTTTTTTAAGTTATAAAATGTGATAAATAATAGCATAAAAATGTAAAATAACAAAAAATCAAGTTCTGAAATGAATATTTTTAGTAGTTCTCTTATGTTTGTATGGGCTTTCTCGTATTAAACCCCAAATGTAATCTCCCATCATATTCTTGTTGTACTGCCCTTGGTAACGTTGTTCAAAGTCCATCACATCTTGGTGAGAACGTTCTCCTTGTTCCTCTGAGTAGGCACCCATATTGTCTTTAAATGGATCCAGGTGAGAATCTAGCATAATATGACGTTTATAGGACATTATGCAGCCCATAATTTTACAAATTTTAAGCATAGTTTCAATCGACTCTTTATAATTGTCACCTCTGTTGTTACCAAGAAAACCATTAACTACAGGCTTGTTTTTCATGAGCATTGAGAAATTCTGTGAAATCATCACTGCTCCTTATTTTTTTTTATTTGTGGTCCGCTTTTAATTTAGCTTCAGATTATTTGGGAAAAATTCCCTTTAAATATTCAAAAGTTTCAGAATTTGGATCCAGAGCTCTTGCAAATGGTTCATTAGGCCCAATTTTATAAGTAACGGTGGCATCAATATATTCTTAGGCTCTACAATTGGTCCCAACTCGACATTATGTTTTCCTATCTGAAATTTTAGTATTTTCCTTCTAAAGTATTTTTTGCAATTAACACAGGTAAACTGAAGGTACCCATTTTTAATCTTAATTCCGGATTTTGAGGTTAAAATAGGCTTCATAAGCTTCGCAAAGCAAAATGTTTGCTTCTCATTTTAACAAATTCACCGCAAACAATTACAGCTGTGATGGACAAGTAAATACTCATTACTAAGCCCTTCACAACTAATATACAATTTGCTATCGGGTTGATTAAAGTGCTACCATCTGTTGCTCATAAAATGAATTAAAATCATTAAAGCTTACTTATCGACGTAAATCAGACAAAACCAAACTTTAAAAGCTAAAAATGGAAACCCAAAGAAAAATAATTTTTTTGTCGACTTGTGATATTTGACTGCCATAGGTTTTCATATAACATTTAATAAATTTTGAAAAACAAATGAATTTTTAGAGAATTACAGCCGGTTGCAAGAACGATTGTTAAAATCTCTCGTTAAAATGGTAAAATAGTAAATTTGGCATCGGCGCTTTTCCAAATGACAGTCTGAAATAAAGTAGACGATATTGGAGATACGTGCCTATCTGTCTTTGTCGACTCATTCAACAGAACACAGTGCAGGTGAAGACGAACGATGTTTCGCAATAAGCTCAAAATTTGTGATAGGGAACGTACCTTCGCATTACAACACCTGCAAAGAAAGTCAAAGGGCTCTTTCAGACACAACGGTTTTGTTCGTACAATTTTTTCTGTGTCTTGTTATTTTCATTAACTATTAAGGTATTAAATTATGAGGGTTTGAATGTGGTCATTTTTATAAAAAAAATAATTTAAAAATGTTTCGGTTTCGGCCCAAGGAGTGTCTTCAGGACTGAATTATTATTATGTATGAAACTTTTTTTATTAAAAAGAGGACAAAGGTATCCACACGTGGGATACGGATATTGTTTAAGGCTCGTTACTATTCTAAAAAGAAAAATGCGGTTCCAGATTGACCTGTATATCCTTTTTTATGCTTTTGTCACAATATGTAGACCATTTTAAAAATTCTGATGTGTAGAAGTTTATTTTCTCAGCATTTTTTTTTCTAAACAGGGTATGCAAGAAGACTAATTAGTTATGGCCTAAAAATTATTCATATACATATACATATTTATTTATTGGACCATTAAGTAGTGAGTCGTTATAGGGATTCGTTGGTTATGGAAGTACTTTAAATATTTATTGGGCTCGTTAATGTCCGATTAAAAAAAATTGAACAAATATTATGGCCGTCTTTTAAAAATTTAAATTGAACAATTATAATCAAAGTTTTCTTTTATTAATATTTATACATTTTTATACAATATTTTAAATATTTTGAATTTAATATCAAGGTAAAATAATATGCATAATATTTTATCTATGGTAGGTACCAAAGTTGATTTTGTAACAAGAGTTACAAAAAAATTTATCCTAATTTTAATCCATTGATTTTATGTTTTAAACAACTGGATTATTTTAACAAAAATTTTTATAAACATTCTTAAAGTCTACCGTCTAGGTAGGAACACCATGGGCAGAATAATATTCCAATTTCTAAATCCATTCTACTGACTCTACCGTAAACGCACCAGATTTGGAGGTTAACCTATGACCAATGATATATAGTTATATAGATTGATCATTTAGATTAAATGAGGCAGATTTGAATGTATATTTTATAGTTATAATTAATAGTTTATATTGCTTGCCATGTGGAGCGATCGGATAGAATGACTTCATCCGGACATTTACCATTGGGCTGGGAGAAGCCTATCAAATGGCCACTTCAAAACATGAAGTATCTAGAGACACCTCTCGGCGACGTTAATAACCTACAGGACTTTGACGATCTGAAGGATGGCTGTAGTCTGTAGACACCCCTCAACGTCAACCAGCAAGTTTTTGATGAGTTAATAACCTACAGGCCTTTGATTAGTTGAGAAGACGGTTATTTGGTAAACTATTTGTAGACACCCATCAGCGTCAACCAGCACGTTTTTAACGGGTTGATAACCTGTAGGACTTTGATAAGCTACGAAAATGCGCTTGTTTCTAGACATTTCTCAGCGTCAACCAGCTGGTTTTGACAAGTTGAGAGGCAGGTTCTAGATACGCCTGAAGGAAGCATAATGGGCCATAAGAGGCCTAAGTGTTGTGGAAGTATTCACCTTTCCCACCTTACAGATACAGATAGTTTATATTGTTAATTGAAACTAATGTAGGATCTTGCTATAAAATTAGAATGTCCATTTTGACAAAAAATATCATGTGGTCCTATTTATAAAATGGCAGCAATTTATAAAAATAATTTTATTCAGAAATTAAGAAAACTTTGTTCTGTATAATTAATATTAAAATTTTCAGTGTTTTTTAATGTTTTCTGGCTTAGATATTCACAATATCTCAGTTTGTGATTTTATTTTTATTAATGTGTGTTTTATGTAGGCTTTGTTACTGTTTCCCTGTTATAAAATTGTTTAGATCTTTTAATATTATTTGATGATATAGTAACTCAACTTTACAACACAAAAAATATGTGTTTAAAACACCTAACATGAAGTAAAATAGGTGATTCTTATTTTTGTTTCTAAATATTCAAATGCTGAAATTTTATTTTAAAACACGTTTGGGCCAGAACGATTTTATTCAGTGAACACTTGAAAAATCGCTTTTCGTAGACCTATTAAAATATGGGTGAGCAGCAATCTCTATAACGATATATATCACTGGACATATTGCGGAAAACGCGCCGTGTTGCCAGATTTATAACGTTCAATAGCTATCAATGATCAGAATGCATTTTTTAAGGATCATTAGCGTTAACGAGTCTATAAAGATTTAACGATCGTTCTTGCAACTGGCTGATAGTTTTTTATAAGTAAACAAGCACAAGTTAAATGTAAATGTAAAGCCGGCTACTCACTACGCGTTACTTGCCAAGTACTTTGCAAGTACCATGTAATGTGTATGGAGACTTGTATAGACTCAGCAAGTTACTTGTACTTCCCGTCGGTTGTCGGTAAACGGACCGAAGTCAAAGGATCCGAGTAAAGTTACTACTACTACTTTAGAAGGCGCGCGTAATGTAGACGATTTACTTGTACTCGAACAAGTACTTGCCAAGTTCAGTCCAAGTCAAGTAACTCGGTAAGTAACGCGTAGTGAGTAGCCGGCTTAAGCTCTCCTATATAATGACTATGGATAATTATTTTTTAAAGCGTTAGGAGCGAATTAAGAGACCAGCATCGCTGAGGCTGACTGTACCAAAGCGCGCTCATCGCAGCATCCGAGGAGGAAAGGGAACACTTGAATTTTGATCGGGCGAACACAAGCACGTAGGCGCTGATGCCCGTTAAAGACATTTTTATTGTGTCCTTTACTTATTAAAATTTTAAAAATTGTTTAGTTTTTCGATATTTAATAAAATATTATAAAACCATGTTAACACGTGTTTTATGAAGAGTCTATACAGGGTGTTACAGTATACAAGGTGATAAATCATTTAAAACAATAATTTTGAAGTTAATTTAACTTTCAACAAAATAATGAATTCTGGATATATTCATCGTCTAGGAAGGCATGCTTTACATATGCAGATCCTCCACTAGGTCGTCTGTTTCTGTTAAGTCTCCCGAAATACGTAATATTCTATATCCTGATAGCCGAATTAGTAAAACAGCGTGCGTAAAGATATATAGGGTTCGAACTGTTTTTTTATTTCGTAAAGGTAATTTTGAAAAATATATTTCTAAGCAATTTATAAATTAACGAAGTTTATGTCTTTTGAATAAGACTTAATTTTTCTTATTTTCTTCTTTTATTTAGGATTTTTTATTATAAACAACATCAAAAAAATTTCGTTAACTTACTGTAATCATGATGTAAGAATAATTGTGTTTACAAACCTGAAACAAAAATAACAAAATTAGTTTACAATAATAACCAAACCAAAACTATTATTATGGAATGTATTTTGACACACATCAGTTGATAATTTTAATATTACAAAGTCATCCATTTTTTTTTATAAAATATTGTTAATACACAACAAATTTTAGTATTCATACAATAATTACTTTGTTGTTTTATGTTCAAATGACTATAAACCTCTTTGGACTATACCAATATTTACAATTGTTTAACCTTTGATATCTATCAATTAAAATAATTGAAATGTGACCATTGGTAATAATAATTAATGTAATTTGTGATGTGTGGTGACATAAACAACTATTTTATTTCTAAAATAACATAAATCGAGAGAATCCGACGTTTTTCATTTAATTGAAATATATCGTGCGTGCAGGATTCTTTGGTATCCAACTACACAAATCGGAGCACAAAGCATTACATACGGTGCGAGATAAAGAAGATGTTTGTGAAGTAGAGACAGCAGAGGAAAAGAAAAACATCACGAAACCCTTTAGTCGATTTTTTAATTAACTAAATTACAGTGGCAGCTTGTCATAATTTAAAATGGGATTCAATTTCTTTCAAATAATTTTAGCATTTGTAAAAATTTGTACAAGCGCCAATATCCCTTAAAACTTCTTTGGCATCGTCTGTTTTAATACAATTTTTTTAGATGATCCATTACTAGAAATGGTACATTGCGCTCTACAAGCGCAGAAACTATTTTAATTTCTATCGTTTTTATTTCACCTGAAACTCCGACATTTTCGAAGAACTTGTCGATTTAAAAAAGCAAAAGTTTTTCCCTGATTCCTGAAATATGCCTTTTTCTATACCCTCATGAATATTAGCTTATCTACGCAC